ACAACACAGAAAAACTTAGGAATCAGGAGACGAGCTAATATATTGTTGCGTGTGGTAGTTATACAACACAGAAAACTTAGGATCAGGAGATGAGCTAATATATCGTTGTGCGTGGTAGTTATACCACACAGAAAACTTGGATCAGGAAATGAACTAATATATTGTTGTGTGTGGTAGTTAGACAACACGGAAAATACTTGGATCAGGAGATGAGCTAATCTACATGTTTTTCAATATCGATGTACCAAATTGTTAAAGAATTTTACCAAAATCAGTCCTTTACCTGAAAAATACAGTTTCTATATATTTGAAAGTTATTACAGTGAACTAATTATGTAACTGTATTGTAGTTCTTAAAGCTAAATCGTATTTTAATCCTAAAATTTTGAAAACAAAACAAACACTATTAAATGAACTGTTTCGATTTCAACGTTAAAACTTTGGTTAATTGCAATGTCTGTTATTTGTACCTTACCTGGGATTTATTTACTTCGCAAGCCAACTTTGTCCTGCACCACATGTACCGTAACCAATCAACAACCACCATCACTGCTGCTACGCCAATCCCAATAAGCAAACAATAAAACACGCCTACCATACTCCACAGGTCCAACTGCCTATTGTTTGTTGCCTGGCTTCCTTTACCTAGAAGATCAAACAAACAATGATAAAATGGCTACATTTATAAGAAGAAGAAAAAGCTACCTAAAATCCGACTGTTCAACATTTAAGTCATCAAATGAAGTAAGGCGAGAGACACATTTGAGTTTAGTTTAGTGTGTCTATAATTTTAGAAGAATCGCTGTATAATAGGAGCTTCTAATTCTGTTATAGTTTCTCTCTGAAATTAACAAACTTGTAATGTTTCATTTTAACCGGACAACGTATTATAGCAGAGAACTGTCAGGTGTTAAGTTATCTGAGCTATCTTGTGTTAAAGTATTTGATCTATTAGGTGTTAGGTAATCTGATCCATAAGGGTGTTATATTATCTAAGCAACCAATTGTTAGGCCATCTGGGCTATCGTGTGTTAAGTTATCTGATCCACCAGGTGTTATGTTATCTGAAGTAATTTGTTACGTTATCATTAATTATCACTTGTTACGTTATTTGATCCATCAGGTGTTACGTTATCTGATCCATCAGGTTTTACATTATCTGAAGTCATTTGTTACGTTATCTTCGCTATCAGGTGTTATGTCATCTGAACTTTCAGGTGTTATCTGATCCATCAGGTGTTAAGTTATCTGAAGTCTTTTGTTACGTTATTTGAAATCATTAGTTACGTTATCTGACCCATCAGGTGTTATGTTATCTGAAGTTATTAGTTACGTCATTTTCGCTATCAGGTGTTAAGTCATCCGATCCATCAGGTGTTACATTATGTAAACTATATTTTTTTACACCTGATACTAACGTTTGTTAATTCACCAGAACAATCACTTTTACTTTGTTCGAACAATTATTTTATACCAACTCAACCAGCGCTTGTTACTTAACCTACTGGAAGATTCTGGAGGGCGTTGAGGGGTCACAAATCCCTCATATATATATATTAAACCAGCACTTGTTACTTATCCTACTGGTAGATTCTGG